CCTGAGGGGTGCTAGGAGGCTGAATCCGCCTCGTCCCCCTACCGTCCCTTCATGGGACCTCCCCACTGTGCTGAGGGACTTGAAGGGCCCCGCTTTCGAGCCGCTACAGTCTGCCAACATTAGGTTGCTATCGCTGAAGACTGCCCTGCTTCTAGCACTGGCATCAGTAAAGCGAATAGGGGACCTGCAGGCGCTCTCTATTAGCCCTGCCTGCCTGGAATTCGGGCCTAACGACTCTAAAGTCATCCTGAAACCAAGGCACGGTTATGTACCTAAAGTGCTCTCCACTCCGTTCAGAGCACAGGTCATTACGCTCTCCACGCTTCCTCCAACTGAAGAGGACAGAGAGCTATCTCTGCTCTGCCCCGTCAGAGGTCAGAGATTCCCGCCAGTTACGGGAATACTCTGGAACGATTAACCAGGCCGGGTGTAACCTAGAGAGCTCAGCCCGTCTTAGCCTTGGGTTATTGTTGACTTCTGTATGATCATTGGTTGCTTATGGAAGTTTATACCTTTAGTCGTTCCACTACATTAACACGGCGTGATTGTACTATGTTCCCATATGCGTCTTAAGCAAGATGCAGTACGAGTGAAGTATCGAAAGGGAACGTACTTGGTTACTAACGTAACCTCGGTTCCCTGAGATACGGGAACGAGTACTGCGTTGCTGGCCATGCTATGTAGCTGCACGATTCAGTCGTGGTAAACCTCGGATGCAGAGGAGCTGTTGGGCTCGGTGAATGACCCCACCCCCTCGCTATCATCCGCACCCAGCGCTACCAAAGATGGGATGGATGCCGAGCTTCTCCGTATCCTCTCCAAAGCGGTTGAAGAGCTGGGTTTAGAGTGGTCTCCGCCAGAGGAGCCCTCTCGCAGCCGTCTGGATGAATGGTTCCTGCTAGGGCGCCGCCAGGCCCCTCGTCAGCGTGCTTCTCCGTTTTTCTCGGAGGTCCATGGCGAGCTCACCAGATCATGGCACGCTCCCTACTCCGCCCAGGATGGGGTCAGATCTCGCCACGGCCGGACCGCCCCTCAAGCAGCCTCTCTTACACCTCTTGACACCTCCGGGTGCAGAGGGAAATGTGTTTTGCGCGAACAACGGGTCCGTTCATGCGCCCAAGCATTCAACCGCTGTGATAGTGGAAAAAATAATAAAACACAAACATTTTCAAAAAGAGAGCAAACTTCCTCTTCCATTACTCGTAAGTGTTCTGCCCCCGTGCGGCCAGTCACCCGAGTTAATTGCGCTCAGAGGTGATGAAATTGCTGGCAAAAGGAGCCGTGGAAAAGGCTGAATCCATCTCGTCCCCTTACCGTCCCTTCATGGGACCTGCCCACTGTGCTGATGGCCTTGAAGGGCCCCACTTTCGAGCCGCTACAGTCTGCCAACATTAGGTCGCTATCGCTGAAGACTGCCCTGCTTCTCGTGCGTCTTAAGCAAGATGCAGTACTCGTTCCCGTATCTCAGGGAACCGAGGTTACGTTAGTAACCGAGTACGTTTCCATTCAGTTTACTGATTGTGTGCATATGAGACAGAAGTAGAAAGGACAGAGGTTGGTTTGTGTCTGTAAATGCTTACGCGGTGAGTTTGTGGTGAATTTAGTTTGTATGCAGTGTCTGCAAAGGCTTGATTTGCAGCTGCAGACTTCCTATATACCCTTTGATGGATGAGTATGTATCAATTACAGCACACTGGACAGCTCACAGTGCTGAACGCACTGAACAAGACATCTGCATCATTTCTGAAACATAGAGTAGGTGTATATGTAGTCGTGCTTCCTGTTTGTTTGAAGACGTATTAAGGGAAGCCACATCTGTATTAGGACCTCGCAGACATATTTAACAATTTACACCACATGTTCACTCAAATCATGTTCAGATTTTAATATTATTTTTAATCATTTTCAAATATTTATAAACATTTGCAAACATCTGGCAAATATCATCTCTGGGCTAGGATTTTCCACCCACATGTTTATCAACTAATTAACTAATGGTCACTGAGTAAATTTAATGTAGGCTGTACTTTGTTCTTGAGGTTTTCTAAAATGGGGAAAAATGTTGCTATATGGTTTCAGTGCTTTCTATAATTTCCGGTCTAGCACAAGTTTTACCATAAAAAGAATGGGGCATATGCATGGCTCTTCACTCTCCTTTAATTTTCAAAAACCTGTTCCTTTATACTCCCATAAATCTATTTGACCCATAAGGACCAGTAAGTCTTGCTAACTGTCACGATCTCCAGCTGGAGTGCCCATGAACTCCACCAGAGGGCGCTCCACCCCTGACTCTTGCCACTCTACCCTGGACTACATGTACCATAATCCTTTGCCCGGACTCAGCATCCATTGCAATCACCTGTTTCTCATCACCCCATCAGTCTCACCCTATTTAAAGCCTGGTTTTTCACTCATTCATTGCTTAGTCTTGCAAGTGTCTCTCTGTTGTTCTTAGTCTTTGTTTTCTGGTTCCTTTGTTGTGTTTAAAATCTTTGCCTGGCTTCCTGGTCGCCCTTATTGTCTAAAGTTTTCTGCCCTGATCATATTTGTTTGGACTGACTACCCTGTTTACGACCTTATGCCTGTTTATGGACTATGGCTTTGGATTACCCCTGAAATAAACTGCATTTGGATCCTCAATCTTCGTGTTCCTGTGCAGATCGTGACACTAACATTGCACTTATATTTTGTAGTTGGACATGATTTATTGATCTTCACTTGTATTTTGTTAAATTACACTTAAAGACTGTCTCGTATGTTTCTGTCTCATAATTTAATGTAGCTAATTTCAGCTTGATGGACATCTGTCAGTGTCAGTTTAACAATAGAGCATTATCAGCAGTTATTTGAGCAAGTACTTCTCTCCTTCAAATACATGCACTCTAACCTACACTCAAAACCACACAAAGGTAACGGAAACATTTGTGCCTGCTGACTAATGATCAACTAAGAGATGTGAAGAGAGAGTCTCATGACGTGTTGCAAATGTGAAGTGTTTGTAAGCGGTCTGAATGAAAAACTTGTGGGTTTCCTGTTTTGACATGTTTAGATGTTGAACTGAACCTATTACAATAAAACAAAGAACCTCATGAATTTTGCAGGTGAACTTTGATTCAAAATACTAGACACTCATGACAGGCATGAACTGACTGACTGATTGCATGTGAAATGTAAAGTACAAAGTGTTTCAAATAAGGATGTTAATCTGCATGTCTGAACCACAGATATTGCTGAACATATCTATCACATAATCTAAAGTAATCTTGAACATTTCAATTTTTATGAACCAATCAGGTGGCTGATCACAATGCCAAATCAGAGCCAAAAAGTCTATAATTGTAACTGGTGAGTGGTTAAAAGTGCTATCATGCTTCTTACATCCAAACAACAGCTCAATTTACTGCCAACCCCTCATGAAGAAAGCCATTTTAGGTAAAATTTTCCATTGACATGAACCAATCAGATGAGAGCTGACGTCTACATTGAGACCCTCACCAGTGTCAGTTATTCACAATCACCCATTAAGATGGAGAGGTCAAGCATTGCTCTCATCGTGCTCATGTGTAAGAAAAAATATACTTTGTCAGTAGTTTTTGAGAGTTTTTTGAATGACAGTGTCATTACTGTGAATATTTTTGTATAATTGTACAATTTGAAGTGTTTTTTAAAGTTGTTTTGTGCTTTTATAGTTTTACTGTTCCATCAGACAAGGATCTATGGAGAAGAAGTGGAGATGAAAGTCAGACCAGGAGACAACATCACTCTCTACTGTGACCGCTCTTTAACTTACGGTTCCCTCATCGTATGGATAAGAAACTGCTCTCATGAAAATCAACCCTCTCTCATAATAGATTTTACGAAATGGGAACTGAAGATATTTCAGCGTTTCAGCTCTATATACAACCGCTACAGTAATTCTTATGATCTACATATTACTAACATTAGTGTCTCTGATCTGGGACTGTACTACTGTGCAGAACTAGAGAATAAGGTAAATAAAGATGAAAAAGGCATCATCTCCATATCAAATGTGTACTATTATGGAAACCGAACAACTCGTCTCTCTATGGAAGGTAAGAAAACACTTCTGTAAGTCATTATTACATTGTGTAATTCTGAAGAACTTTACCTTTCTCTGTGAAAAAACAAGATGAACAGAACAAAAATATGTGTATTAATACATTTGTGTTTATGTTGAACAAGTGACTTCCTGTTCTGAACCCTCTGCACCTCCTGACTGTGTGCTCTGCTGGACGCTGCTGTTCAGTGTGTGTCCGGTGTGTGTTCTCCTCTCTTCACTCCTGTCCTCTATCTGTGTTTTCTGCTTCTGTCAGGCTCAAACTACAGGTAACTCATTTCCTTGACACCATTTTTCCAATATAAAACCTAATGTTTTTGCGCTGAAAAAAAGTGGTAACCTAAAAATAAGGATAGGAAATATAAATTTAAGGGAAGCTGTATTACAATTATACAGCAATATTTATGTATTTAGATGGCACTGACATTTTTATGTGTTTAAGAGCACATGTGCGCTGAAGTTCCTGTGTTTAGACCTGCATTATTTTCTCATTTTACTGGCATATATTCATATGATATTTAGGTTCTGCATGGAGTGCAGAGATATTCACAGCGGATGTTAATAAGGTATCTATATTATTATTTGTTTTCTGTAAATTTTCAAGCTTTCCCTAGTGAAAAATAAATATACTAAAATGTATTTGAAATACATTTATTTCATGCTAAGTATACTACAAATACATTTACATTTTTATGTACTAAATAAAAATACCCTGCAATTGTACTTTTGGTAAACTGGTATACTTAAAGTCTGCTAAATTGGACTAATTGAAACTCATTTTGTGCTTAATACACTTTAATTGTGCGGAAGTAGTGCTGAAGTCCAACTAAAGATATACTGAAGTATATTTGATTATGCTAAAGTGGAACTATTGCAAGTATACTTTAGCTATACACTTTAAATATCTTGCATTTAAAGACCGATATTATTCAAAGATCATACAGTCCTTATTAATAGTGACATTAAAACACATTTTAGGCTTAATATTAAGTATGCATTGTGCATAAGTAGTACTCCAAATAAAATTGAATTATAATTATTATATCAGTGAGTCTCGAGCGATATTTCAATAAATATGTTAATAGATTTGAACTATAATTAGTATGAAATAAATGTATTTTAAATATATTACTTTTTCACTAGGGTTGCAATGTCAAAGTTTGTCTCGTGCATCTCCTATTCATTTCAGGGGGATTCTATGGAGAATCATCAGTGTGAGATGAGTAAGATGGGAAAGATCTGCCTTCACACTGAAGCCTCTTATAGACTATTGACCTCTTCACATCCCTATGCCAAGATGTGATTCTGCCTGCTCAATTTATACATACTACTGCAAACTTACTGCCTACTATTGATCACTCTTTTTGTGCTCAGCAATTTCAGATTTGATTCTGAACTTGTGTTTTTCTTAAGCATGCTTTTTTAACTACATTTAGTATGCATGCATACACATGCAACAAACTTGGAACACATTTTTTAATAGAATTACACATTTACATATGTAATTTTCCATAAAGCAAAACATATTCACAAAAGGTAAATCACTTTTAAAAATGTTGAAATAAAATACTAGCAAAATAGAAAAAGGTTTCCAGTTTTAATTTTGCTATTAAATGTTATTTGCCCATTTTCTGCTTGTAAATGTTATTTTCATTATAAAATAACAATAATTATATTTTTTAGAGAGAGAGAGAGAGAGAGACTTCAAATAATAATTAGGTGTTTATTAGCCGTAGTAAAAAAAAAAAAAAAAAAGTCCTTCTGTGCCATAAGAGCTACATGCTAGACTGTTGAGTAAAACACAGGTGACATAAAGTCAAGTCACCTTTATTTATATAGCGCTATAATTCAGATTGTTTAAAAGCAGCTTCACAGTAATAAACATAAAAATAACAGAATCAATAAAGCAAACTTCTTCAAATATGAAGTTCATATGTGTTCAACCCAATCTCATGAATGTGCGTATCAATACCACGAGTTTCTATTTCTATTTGACATTCTATTTATACGCAGAAATTGACTTTGGCGTGCATATGATATGCAATGGTTAGGATTAAGGGTATGGGGATAGGTGTGTATTATATGTACTACGCCAAAACTGCATATCATTTGCACGCCAAAGTCAATTTATAAATAGCACCCCAAATAGAAACTGAAAATCGCTAAAAGCTAAAGGTACCAACCACAAATATGACCCTCTCTGTGAAATCCAGGATAAAGTCTCAAAATCTAATTATGAGATAACAAGCATCAAAGTTTGATTTCAACCATTAATTTCACTATGATTTCAATCTTTGACATGGTCTTACTCAGTCAGTAATAAAGATATCAATGTTACATTTTCACAGAATGTTCTTTATACCTTATGAAGGATGATTTTATATAGCAAACAGTAAAACACCAAAAAATGACTTTAGCTGGGTTTTCACAGACAGGGTCACAAATGTTTCCACCCTAAAACAGACATGCATTAGTGTATTTGTCTGTCAGATATGTGTTACTGTAATAACGCACTGGTTTAATCTAGGGGCTAATATTCTGAACTAATCTGACCTGGTGTAGGTAATAATTTATCTTTATTAAATGTTTTAAAGACTAAAATGGTCACACAGGTTTGTTTACGCATTAAACTCGTGGCCACGAGAAAAATATGCCGTTCCCTCAACATAAGAAGTCGTGGCCACAAGAAATGGATGTTGTTCCCTCAACATAGCATCTCAAGGCCACAGCTTCACATCGCATGGCCGCGACATAAGGATGTCATTACCTCGACAAAATGATCTCGTGGCCACAACATATTATCACATTCCCACGAGTTAATATCTCTTGGCCACGACAAAAATAAGTAAACCGCACATGTCCCCTCCCGGTCACCGTACATATCAATAGCCTAAAAGCTGTTTTACTTTACATCTAATGGGTCACATGGGAGCAGAAATGTTGAGATTAGCAGTCTGTCCCGATACACATGTGGTCTTTTCTCTTGATCACTTGTCTACTTACATGATGTATTTCCTGTTTTTGGCCCAAGTGTAGAAGCGGATATGAAGACTGCAAGTGTGTTTTAAATAAATGTTTTGAATTTCAATACTTTGCATTTTCATATCAACTTCTAAATGTCTGTTCAGTAGTCCCTGTTTAACAGATGACATAATTTAATTCTGGTGCTTCCAATTAAGTGTTAAAAAGCAGTTGCAAATGCTTTACAAAACTAAATGCCCTTCACATCACAATAATAGCATCTTAGGCTATTATTAATATTATCATCATTATTATTGATAACTATATTTCTAACAATAAGGTAAGTTGTCTTCTCAACGCTGAGAGCTGGTAAGTAATATAGGAAACCACAACCTTGCAAATATGTATGTGCATTATTATGTGCAGTGTGTAAGCTAGTGTCTGCATAGAGCGCACAGTTGTAATGGAATGATTGGTGGTTTTGACACCTCTTCAGAACCCAGAGCTTAACACATCTCAAGCAAGCGTATTCTTGTTCAAACATATGTACAAGTAACTAATTTACGTATTTAGAGACCAATATACAAACTAGTTACATAACTAAAACACATAATGATACCCCACACTTTAGGTCTTTGTTGTCGCACACTTGATTTTCATTATTATTACCCGCAGCAAGATTTTTTGTCAGAGTTTGTTTTTCATAAAGAAAAGTACAAAGACAGAATTGATCAAAGCTGTTAAGCAGAAGTACCACCCACCACAGTCAGCCAATCAAATAAGAGCTGACATCCGCTCTGAAGACCCTCACATTTATCAGTCACTGAGATGGCGTGTTACAGAGATACAGTCATCACACTTGTGAGCAAGTCCATTAGATTGCACTCTGCTAATTTTGTTTGGGATACTCCGCTCGTTCATCAAATCATGTCGCATAGCGTCTCATATTGTCACTGCTTCCTGTTTTTGGTTCGTTAAGAAGTATTTGGTACGTGTTGCGTTCATATTTCATTCGAACCGCACCCGTTTGGAAGCAGACCGAGACCGCTTGTTTTGTGCGCACCAGGGTTTGGATGGCAGCGTTCACACTTACTCAAATGAACCGCACTAACAGAGCAATCGCACCAGAGTTAGTTTTAATCGAACCAAACATGACAAGTGTGAACACACCCTCAGGGTTGGGCAGAACCAGTGGGGAAGGGAGGTTTTGGGAAATAACCTATTCCAAATCCTGCATTACAAATCGCAGAGGCCAGACACAGCTCACCCTCAGCAGCAGTAGTAAGAGCAGGGCTCCAGGTAGTATGAGGAGGCTTCGGCCAGTGGTGAGAGGGGAGTTGCTGTTAGCCAGCACCCTGAGCTGAGCTGAAATACAATTTAGACGTGCTAAAACAGGAAACCACAACCTTGTGATTAAGTGCACTAGTCACTGAATGGAAAGCTTTGTGGTTACAGCCAGAAACAAAAATAGATTTTCAACAACTTTTCAGAACCCAGTTCAACAAACGTCTTTAAGTAAGTGCATTCGTTTACAAAAGCACCCTCACACATACAAGAAATTCTCATGGCTTTAGATGCTGATGAAAACAATAGCCATGTAGTTAAAAAGATTCAAAACAGGAAACCCATTATGACGCTCAGCGCTTCAGGTCATCTCTATTGCCACATTGTATATCATTATATTGTAAAAACAAACAATTATACTGTATGTCATTATAATGTTACCATTTGTTTGAATATATGGCTTCTGAGCCTCTTTTAAAGTTTCACACAGCTGCATTTGTAAAAATGATCACTTTACCATATTGAAAAATAACAGGAATTTATATTGTGCTCACTAATCTAAATTCCTGTCAAAGTGTGTTTCAAAAGGAAGAAATAAGTGGGACAAATGACCAGAATAAGAAAAACCTCAAATCCCAACCCCAACAAGAGATTCAAAGCACCTTAGCATAAATACCTCCCACCATTACGAACCAGACCATTCACACAAGGTCCTCATCCCTTTCGGTCACTGAGATGGAGCGACGAAGAGTTACAGTCATCATACTTGTGTGTACGTCCATATTTGTGTTTCATGCCATTGTATTGATTTGACTGACAGTCCTCTTTCATGTATATGAACTTGTATTTGCTTTTGCAGGTGTTTTGTTCTGTGAACAGCAGAGAGTCTTTGGGGCAGAAGTGGACATGAGAGTTAAAGCAGGAGACAGCATCACTCTCTACTGTGACTGTATCATACCATCAGGATCAATCATTGTTTGTTTGAGAAACTGCTCACATGAGCATCAACCATCTCTTTTAATAGATTCTTCAGAAATATTAATGGTGAAGTTTCCACGTTTTAGTTTCGTGCTCAACAGCTCCAGTAACTCCTATGATCTACATATTACGAACGTCAGTGTCTCTGATGAGGGAATGTACTACTGTGCGAAAAGAGAAAGAAAAGTACATACAGGTGTACACGGCATCATAAACCCAATGTATGAGTATGAGTATGGAAACAAGGCAACTCGTCTTTCTGTCTTGGGTGAGAAAAATCTATCATCTATCTATCTATCTATCTATCTATCTATCTATATCCATGTATCTATATACATGTGTCTTTTCATATTTGTGTTTGTTAATGAAAGGTTTACACAATTTATAACAGTAATAAAGAACAGACAAATTACATTTTATAATGCAAATGCAAAAATTCTTAAGTTAATGTACATTTAAAATAGTTTGTAAAACTTTCAGATTCACAATACATTTTCACATCCAAATGATACTGATTCGTTAAGCATTATGCTTAGCAAATACAAGCAATATTAAATATATTTTTAATGGTGAATAGGATGTTAAAAATAAAATGTATTTCCTAATTGAATATTAAAGTAAAACATATATATTAACCGAATAGTGTGAGAATGTTTAAAAATGGCATATGTTTGATTTTGAGCCAGTGTCTCCTGGTTCTGAGCGGTTCAACACCTCCTCCACACCTCCTGTATCAGACTGTGTGCTCTGCTGGACGCTGCTGTCCAGTGTGTGTCCAGTGTGTGTTCTCCTCTTCTCCATCTGTGTGTACTGCTTCTGTCAGAGGAAAACTACAGGTGATCATTCACTCCTGAACTCGATTCCATCACCTGCCGCAGTTATGATGTGCCAGATGTTATTACAGCTCTGGATTTGCTTTCATACAGTATCACATATTAACTGTAAAATGTCACAGTCAGAGCAATGAAAACTTTATACAATGCCTTTGATCAGTCAGTTGAGCTTGTGAAGTACAATTTTTAATCTAACTTAATTTGATCTGAACCAAGTTGATTCTTAAGTTATTTTAATTTCCTGTAGCTCCTGGCGCTGAAACACAGACTGAGAACCGACATGTTGAGCTATTGTATTATATGTGCACAACCTGAAGAAGATTTAAATATAAATTATTTACACTTTTTTGGCGTTTTAAAGTGACATAAATTACATCTGTATACTAATAT